CTAAATTTCAAACTAGATGGTCCTGTGGACCATCTCGTTTTTTCTCCTTATTTCTACCTCTGTTGCACGTGGGAAATAATTCGTATCGGTGCTTTCCCTATTCACTAGATACAGAATTTTATGGTAGCCTGTGTGTGGTCCATAGTATGTTTACAACTGTACTAAGAGAATACAGAGTACCGATCATCGATCATATAAACGTACCTAGCCGTTACCTAGCAAGGCACCTTGACGCTGTATGGAATATTTGCAAAACTGTAAATGCGGACAAAATATCTATCACTCTTTCGTGATTTTACAACAGATATAGCCTAATAGGGATATAATATAGATATAAAATAATATACCACGAACCAATGTACATTGATATGATGATCATATATGTGTATGCATAGGTTCAAGCTAGTAGACATTTATTTAATGCTCATGCTTTTTGCTAATACTATATCTAGCATAGACCTATATGTGTTAAGTCACATGGTACACAGAATTCTGTAAGTATCTCTGGTATTTAGGCTGAAAGGAGATGCAAGTTTGTTGCAACTATCAGTTTTATCAGTTAAATTGACTACGTCACGAATTTTCTATGGTAAAATTTGTAAAATGTTTGTTGCCATTTTTTTACATTAAAAGTAAGAACTAACGGGACTAAATGTATCGTCAAATTCTTACCTGATATGATTGTTTCTCAACTAGTTAAAAATCCAAAAAACCTGGACGATTTGATCTTGTGTTCCTGACATTAATTGCTTGCTATGGGCTATGTATGAGTCACGAGTGGATGTTCACATCAAACAATATAGTAAAATAAGAAGTATAATGCAGCAATTTAACCATAAAAAGTTAACAGAATTACTTATATTTTGTGGAAAAGCGGAAAAGTTTTTTTAATTTTTACTATTTACGGTGATGTAATCACTTTAAGTGAGCGATAATGTTGGGTATTTTTGGCGAGTGCAAAACAAATGAGTGTGGATATCATATGAAATGAAATTGGCTGCTTGCAATAACATATGCAATAGGAAAGTAGATCAGCATTTGTTGGTAAATACAGAGCGCACATTCACCATGATAACCAGCGACAAAGAGATTATATAACAAATATATGCGATAACGTTAGTAATATACTATTAAATTTTTTTATCATATTACTGGTCTCTGTGCACGTTTTAAAACGGGTTATTTTTTCGCGTTTCCTTGAGACCTCTTTTAAACCCAATTGCATTGCATTAAATGTCAGATAACGGAAAATACTGCCCGAGCACTACTAGAACGTTGCTCAGGGCAATAAACAACAAACTGGACGTCATAGTCAGGCTAGGCCAATACACCAGACATCCTGTGCGTGATCAGGACTAGGCGAAATCCAGCCCAGCAACAAGGTGACCCGGCTATGATATGTAAATGATGAAGATATGATGATGATGTCGTGCTTGCCACGCCATCCTTAAAAATTCTACTTTTGCTGTCCGCCCGATCCCATGATTTTTTAGTGGGTAGGTATGGTAGGTCCATTTTGTATTTGTGAGGCATAATAGTTTTTTTAAGTCTGTCCTCATGTTGGGCCACATGCAGCTTTCGTGTTCAGTTTAACTTATGAAAAAATGGAAAAAGAACAAAAAAAATGAAAAAAATTATGGAACCCCAAAATGTCAAAAAAAACTTTGGGCGCGGCAGATGTCGGTGGGTTCGGTCGGAGGACAGCAAACATATAATTTGTTAAGGATGGCCTCACCTACCACCATATATAGAGAAATGTTGACTTGCCAGCTACCATAGCCACAGTATATAAGCAGGACTGACTTGTTACCAAGGTCATATGAGTGCAGCTGGAGATTTGGTAAAAATGTGTGAGAAATGAGGATAAGCCTGTCTCGTTTCTCCATGTCAGATATATTTGCGATTATAGCTGGTACTGGTTTTTGTACACGGTGTACACACACGTGATGTCAGAACCATCAATTCTTTTTTTAAATAAATATTTTTGATGGCTTATATGTCGTACATACAGCCATAAGAACCATAAAATTAAGCCAGTCCTGATTTTGAACATTTTGATTTCTGCTATATAACCTTAAATAAAATCGATAAAAATTAGCCAGTGCTGCTCAAATGTTACTAGCTGCCGACTGAGAGGGGGGGGGGGTCAACGGGCTGCTATTTTTAATGCTGCAACCTTACATTGAAGCATATATTGAAACGTGTGGTAAACTTATGAGTAAATATACAGTTACAATTGAGGTACCACCGTCACTGTACCAATTATGATTTTGTTTTAGTGGCAAAAATCGAAGAAACGTGCCAGTTTAAAGGCAGATCGTAACAGAGGGTATAGATCTGTGGTTTCATTGCGAAACTATGCAGTGATGAGGAACATGCCATTTTAAAAGGTCAGAAAACAAGCTGACGAAGTCTGCGATGATCGCAGTGTGTATCGAAACGCGCGATAAGTGGTCCGCTGAGATTATGTCTTGTGATGGCACAGACGTGCATGGTGAGATAATTCCTAGTTCTCTGTCTCGTTCCACAGTTGCACACTGCTAAAGCGCACATTTGCCCGTCTTGCAGGCACGACTAGAGATGCAAATACACGTTTCTGAGGCAGGGTTTCTACAAGATTACTCACATAAGTTAAGTGTCATGAGAGGGAGAAACATTCACCATCCCAACAACTATGATCAACAACACCATGGGGGCATATATGACGAGATGAGATGATTCACGATGAGACCACGTGGATGTGAGCCCAGCAGCACAACTCTAACCTGTGTATTTAAAGATGCGGAAATGGTCGGTGAAACATGAGACGAACTTACCAAAGGTCGAAAATAGTTGTTCACTACTTTTTCATGGTGTTTGGGGATTTTATGGTGATTACATATTAATTATGCATGCATGCATAACTGACACATTATGACTAACAACTTACGCAGATGCCTCATGAACCTCTGTTCCATCATAAACACCACATCCCGAAAGAACCTACAAGTACAAGAAGAACAAATCAAAGCGATGCATGTTGACATGTCCGTCTATAGCCACATCACGGGCCCCCCACTCCGAGGTCAGAGGGACCGCATGCGCGTTCCCAAAATCTCCGGTAAAGGGGTATTTTTTGCGCGACAAAATCCGGCCCCAGAATTGTAAAAAAGGGGGTGTATTTGACTTTTCACCCGGAGATTTCTTTAAAAAGGGGGTGTTTTTTCTCTCTCTCTCTTTCATCTTGAATATCATAGAAAACTCAAATCCCGGGATCAAATTCCTGAAATTCCTGCTAGTTTTGGAAGCTCATTCAGGATTATTTCGGATTTAGGGGGGTCTCCAAGGCAGGAAAACCCCGCAAAAAGCCCGCGAAAGGGGGGTTCAGAAATTTTGGCAGTCCTGAGATAGGGGGGTGCTTTCAAAGGGAGGGAACGAGGATATGCGTACCCTAAATAACACTGAGAGGGGGGCCCGGGAGCCACACCAGGCGATTAGTACAGTACCAGACAAGACAATACAAGACAAAACACATTTTAATACATAATAGTTAATACCCGTTAGTACTAAGGGCCCCAAAATGACATAGGTCTCAATGGGCCCCATGTTCTCTATCCTTGAACCGTACTAAGTACCAATTAAGCTTTGCAAGTAAAGCTGAGAGGGTCTATGTCCCCCGGGGTACTGCCGGAAGGTACCCTGGGTACGGTCCGGTATACCGGAACGTACCCTGGTACTATCTAATATGCCGGACGGAACCTCGCCTACTCCACTAACGAGTCTAGGGAGTCGCCTACGCCTACTCCCTAACCCTAACACTAACCCTATCCCTAATCCTAACCCTATCAGTATCCCTAATCCTAACCATATCGAATAGTTACCAGGGTATACGTTCCGGCAGTACCCTGGGGGACATAGATGATAGACCTTATGAGCGCAAGTAAAACCAATTACTAGAGATGCAGAGGCCAGAGCCACTTTCTGTGACGTGAAATATATTCCCCACGGACTGGCCAGTACACACAGATGTAGAAGTAAGCAACCGCATGTCTACCTATAGCCATATTAAAGATAATCGAAACATGTCGTGACGACGAACAGCTGATTTCAGTGCGACCCTGCGAGAGTCAAGGAAACCGCGCGTGCGCTCCCTCACCTACTGCACCGCGGTATCAAACAAATTCATACATGATCGCAAAAACAGAAACGTACCACTGCGACACTGTTCTCTTTCCGACGGGCATAACTTCGGCATGTTATCGACTTCAGTGTGGCTGAAGAAGGGCGACTAAAAAGTTTACTTGTTAGCATTTTCAAAGCCGGTCAGTAGGCGCTCAAACAAACAAAACTATCCACAACCTGCAACACGCGCGCCTCAAACGAAAGCGCTGACTCGTAGCGTCACTAGCGTGTGGAACTGTAGCACTGCTGAACTGTAGCGTGTGGAACTGTCGACCGGTCTAACGCAGTCTTAGACTGGTACCCGGTCGCACCTATTGGTTTAAGGTTAGGGTTAATCGAGTAACCGAGTAATCGAGGTGGGAGCGAGTACCAGTCTAGCGCAGTCTAACCAGTAAAAACAACATTGATAGTGACATACTCATTTGATACGAAATTTAAATAGACATATAAATTTATAAAATATAATTGTATTGTTAATATTATAACCTACTAGTACTAAGAATCATATTTTACCCTTTGTTTTCACTTGTTTTTCTTTTTTTACCAGTTTTCCGTTGTACCTGGTTTAAAACAAGAGAACATTGGTAATAAATGGAAGAAGGTTTAAGTACAAATACATATTTATTGTAGAGAATCTTTTTTTGTATATATCTATGGGATGCGGCTTCACCAGGAAATAAGTAAATATGTGAGTGTGTCACTTTCAGGAGCTTAAATAAAATCTACCTGCTTTAGATAATATACAAAGATAATGTTCATACGCGAAGTTGAATATTGACTTCTGTAACGTCTATTTCCAACAACAACTGTCAACAACACTAAACAGTGCCAGTGCCAGTGGTGTGTAGGCCCTACTTGTTTGTACGAACATCACCAGTATTTGTATTACACTGCAAAAGCTGATCAGCACGAGGACCGGTTACGGTTTAGGCCCAGTAAGTTATGGTTCTGTTTGGTTCTAGCGCTATTTGACTCCACATTATATTATTATTAGTTCATCTGACATAGTAACAGTCAGATGCAGCTTGTACTGTAACT